TTGATAATTAACAAGTATATGTGGATTTTAGTAGGGCTTATATTTTTAAATCGAGACCCCAAATTTCAGCATCAGCCATTTTCAGCATCAGCTGTGACAATAATTTAGATAATATTGATGAAAACATGAATTCAGAAATTTCTCATTCGACATTAAATATTGCAAACTTGGTAAATTTAACATTGCCAGAATTTTCAGAAGTGGGTAATGCAATATTTTCTTCAGAACCTGTTTTGTTTAATCAGTCTAGAGATATAGATAATATGAATTATAATCCTATTCAGTTAGCACATCAAATGGTATCAGAGGATAGTATCAAGAATTAAAAATTTATTCGATAAGAATTATGTATATAATTTTTTTGTTTTATATATATGGGTAATTATTTTTAAAACCGGGCCAATTTAAATATGATGTAATAACATTTTGGCCTGAATCCAAAAATAATTACCCATATATACAGCAATAAATACAACAGAGTCAAATAATTATCATTATCTATATAGTTGGTTTAATCTTTATAATTTTTATAATAGCAGGCAATTTAACAGGTTACATAAAATTTACCAGGAGTATGGATCACATGATCTTTAAAATAATACGGTTATACTGTATGCAGCATACAGAAATTTTCTCAAATTTTTTTTTTTTGAGATGTGCAGATGTCACACAGTAAATTTTATTTAAAATAACATTTTTGATTTTCTATATCTACTTAAGTTTTATCAAACTATGTATAATAAAATTTGATAAGACTTTTTTTCAATAACTTTAAGTTTACAAAGGTGAGTATATGAAATAAAAAATAAAAAAAAAACATTTAAAATCTGTTTAAATCTGGCAATTTAAACTCAAGAAACAAATTTTTATTACATGCTCAGATTACTCTATTTGTAGCGATTTTGTCAGTGAATAACGTTAAATTAAACTTGACAATTTAAATATACTTGAACCATTTATTTACCTGATAAATTTAAAATTTTAATTTCAATATCATAAAAATAGATAGCTAGAAATAAGGATATTAATGATTGTGTGAAGAACTCAAAACTGTTGTATAAGAAAACTCTCAGTTTAGAAGAAGTAAGTTGAAATATCATCATTTATTTGCACTTGATTATTGCGCAATTTGTTAAATATTTATTCAACTAATCATTATATAATTGTACTATTTGACAGTATGAATTTTATACTATATAGCTAATAGTTTATAGATTGAAACAAAATATGAAACAAATGCTTGGTAGTACTATACAGTATGGTTTAAAATACCTGAGGGGATATAGGTTGCACTATATAAGTGCTTCAGTAATATATTATATACTAAGTGCAATCAATCTATCTTTAGTATCTGGGTATTTTATATTTCCAAGTATAATTAATCCATCCTTATTACTTGGAGTACTTTACATTTTAGGACTTCAAAAATTGTGAGGTATTATAAAACAAGGTCTTTTAGACTATGCTGTACAGTATTTTATTTTGATTCTTGATATTTTTATAAGTTCTTTAAAAATAGCTAATTTTTTTTTTTTTTTTTTACTATTAAGGCCGATGTTACGGGGCTACTGCCTTTATTTGTGTTTTTAGTTAATGCATT